CTGAAATTGAGAAGCCATTAGATGAAAAGACATAACAATGTGACAGCAGCAAGCACCAAGATTTAAAAATCAAAGCTATTTATAAATTGTTATTGTCTACATCGGCTTTGGCAATGCAAATAGCATTTTCTCTAGGGGGTACTTGTTTAATGAGTATTGACAGCTTTTGATGGCTGTTGACTAGCTAGTGGCACATGCCTCCTGCTTTGCCAAACGATTGGAGGCAAGCCATGGCAGTTTAAATATAACTTGAAAAACAAGCCTGAGTTTTTGCAGACAAATAGAAGCTGGGAAAGGGGACACTTCAAAGCTCACTACTACTGCGTCTGAATGTTACGTGGTCATCAGAAAGCCAATGATAAAAGCTCGATTCTTGTTGCACAGGGAGGACACCTAAAGCCAAGAGAGGAATTTGCTAATAATTTGCACCTGAAACTAAGAAGGAATAAATGTACTGCCAGAAAAGTGTCTGCCTTAGTAAATGAGCAGCAAAGTGCAGGCATATCGAAAAGGGACTTGAATCAATAATGGGGGATCAGGAGTGTAGAATTGTGTTGTTGACCCTGGAAATGTTTATCCTACTGTCGATTCAAGTCTCTTTTTGATATGCCTGCATTTTGCTACTTACTCACTAAGGCAGACACTTATATAGATATACATTTACACATATACATATACATATACATATACATACATACATATTTGTTTTCTGAGGTTTTTGCGGGTGTTTGTATGTAGGTCTTTGGTTATTCGGGTTTTCTCCCGCATCAAACGTCGCCAAGACACTTCCAATTTGACGTGGGAGAAAACCCGAATAACCAAAGATCTACATACATACACACACACACACACACACACACACACATATATATAGATATAGATATAGATATAGATATATACACATATATACATACATACATACACACACACACATACACACACATATACCAAACATTTTTGTGTGCAGTTAGACATTCATGCATATACTGGTATTGTTAATCACTGAAATGGAAACATTAGGATTTTTCCATAATCTTGCTAACCTCCTTCAGATGATGAATCATTAAAGTAATAATAAAAGGTTACTCAATGTCACATATCCCTTAAGAAGATGCAACTAATTATAATGATTTTATATGGAGGATGAGCCTTTCCAAAGGCATCTTGGGTTGTGGGGGATATAATTTCTCTGATGAGCTTCTCTAAACCGAATTGCTAATTACATAGCTTGTCCCTGTCTCTTTAACCAAATTTAAGAGGGGGGAAGATGTTTGGAGAAATTTCTAAAGGTCACTGTGAGACAATCTAGTTATTTTATGCTTCATTTGCTTGTATTCCTTAAAACTTCAGTGGAAACAAACTTCATGATTACCGAAGGTTGCCTTCACCCTAGCTATTTCTTCCAGTTGAATGGACTCCTTATTTCTTAAATGCAGTAGAATATGTATCCCTTCCTTATTTATTTATCAGGCTTATGTTTCTCCAGTCAGCAAGTGACTCCAGGTAGTTCACTGTTTTCGGGATTTAGGTTAAAAATGAACACATTCATAAAAATAACAACCACACGAATAATTAATCCAAAAAAGGAAGAACGAAAATGCCAAACCACTGAAAAATCACTTTCCCTTATAAGAGGAACCTTATCATCTGTCAGAGCCCAAACAGGCGATAATTTTATTAAGCATCAAATGTATTAGAGATAGTCTGATCTCCAGGGAAATATTATTCCTGGGAATTAGGGGGAAGCATTAATAGTAAAAGATCACTCCCAAGGTCTCTGTAAATCACATTCACAGAAGGAAAAAGGTTACTGTTTTAGATATTTATTAAGCAACCAAAAGCCAGAAATTAAATTTCATTTTTTATTACCGTATCTAGTCAGATACTCAGATCCCACCCACCAATTCATGATATAAAGCAATGCTTCACATATTATTCCAGGCTCTACAGCTGAATAAAACCATGGTATTTTCAATAAGGAGTCATTATCATTCTAGCAATGGAGATATTTCCTGGGGAACAGCCTACCCAGTACAATTACACATAGATCACAAAAATCTAGACATTCTGAAGAAAGCACATGCTTTCTCATGCTTTAGCCAATCTGAATGGAGAGAGTTTTTCTCCCATTTTAATTTCCATATGACATACAGAAATTCACACATGTATGAGCAACTTTAGCTCTTCCCAATTAAAGAGACCCTGTTAAAAGATTGGGACAGATTGAGAGAAACAGACTGTTACTCTGCTAGATGAGATTAAAGTGCAACAATAACAGTGCTTATGCCAAGTCTTGGATGCATAATCTCCAGAGAGCCCCCAAAGAATATTATTTTGCCTTGCACATCTGATGTGGGTCATCTGTTTCACAATGACCATTCATATATGCCCCTTCCTTTAAACAAGGCATTTTATAGTCCTGCCATGACATTAGAACTGCTGCACATAGGGAAGCATTGAAACTCAGCTACTCAGTTCTGGTAGTCAAGTATCAGAGCAAATGTCAAGGACTGTCTCTTAGCATATTTATCACCAAGCAAAGTTTATTTCTGGAAAATTACCTGACCAGCCTCTGAGTTTTTCTCTGAAAACTTGGGAGTGCGCCTCCATGGATTTTGTTGCTGATTCTCACATGCAAGCATTCGTGTGGCTGTCTCATCATCGTACCTCACATGGTCAAACTGAGAAAATGAATTAGGTATTACAACAATGGTTAAGGTATATGTCTCTTATCAAGAAAATATAAGTGCGAGTTTGGTCTATTGGCTAAGGCACTATCTAGGCCAGCAAGCAGGAGACCATGAATTCAAGTCCCATGTTAGCCATGAAAGCCAGCTGGGTGACTCTGGGCCAGTCACACTCTCTCAGCAAAACCCACCTCAGTGGATTGTTGTTGTGGGAAAATAGGAGAAGAAAGGTGTGTTGGATATGTTCGCCACTTTAAGTTACGTGTAAAAATAATAAAGGTGGGATATAAACAGATGGGATATAAAGAGCCATGGTGGTGAGTGGCCATAATGCAGTACTGCAGGCTAAATCTGCCCACAGCCAGGAGTTCAATCCTGACTGGCTCATTGACTCAGCCTTCCATCCTTCCGACATTGATAAAATGAGCACCCAGATCATTGGGGACAATATACTGACGTTGTAAACTGTTCAGAGAGTGCTGTAAAGCACTGTGGAACAGTATATAAGTCTGAGTGTTAGTATTATTTAAACAAAAATCTGTTGCCTCTTGCAGCACTTGTCTCCAACATCTCAGTACATTTCTCCATTGGAATGTCTCCCCCTCTAAAATTTCTACTCTAGTGTTTTGCTTTCCACAGCCCCTGCATCTACAATTCCTCATGCCTTGAACTTTCTGTAGGAGAGACAGACTGCTCAACTCTTCTTAAAGAAACAGGTAGGTTTAGCAAAAACTGTATACAAGCGGACTGCAGAAACACACTCTGAGCCAAAATTATGGAGAAAATTTCAGTATGGCTTTCAACTTTGACCTTTCAAAAAAAAACCTGTACTCAAATTTTATTGAGTTGTGCAAACACATTAACCTGTCAGTCTTTCATCTGGAATTATCTGCATCCATGAAGACCCATCCTTTGTTCCATAGATTGCTGTGGTTCATGAAGAATCTCCCTGCAACACATGCTTGAAATTGGAATGGGGAGGAAAAATATATAATGGAAGCTATTCTGGCCTCTAGATGCAATGGGAAGCATTTGGAATATCTGATTGATTGGGACTGCATCCAGATTCACTGAGAAACCTAAATGGTGTCCACACTGCACATCTTGTACAGCATTTCATCTAAAATTTCCAGGAAGGCGCCATTCCTGTGATCTGCCTATGCTACAAAGATTGTGAGACCCTCCAAAAAGTCATGGAGTTCCCAGCATGGTGGGTCCCCAGATCTTTCTATCTCTTTCAGACCCAGAGTAATATGTCATCATCAAAATTCCCACCAACAGATACACAAAAATTCCCTTCGTTGAACAGATTTGTCCATGTGGATCACAAGAGATTCAGATTGTTGCCTATGTACTGCTTATTATAATTTCCTTAGAGATATACAGAATTTTCTTATTTTGCCTCTTCTGCATCAATAATCAGGATAAACATATATTTATTATATATAGTTTGTATTTTTTTTATTTTAATGTTAGCATTAGCATTAGAATGTGACTAAATTCTGTGTGACTGTGGTTAAAACATATTATGGAATATCATATCCTGATTGTAGTGATTTTATATACTTTTATGCTTTCATCTGGATCACTGAGTGTAATAACCAAGTAAGTTAAGCACATGTTCAGCAGTTACCTAATTATATAATAGAATGGATTCAGTAGATTTATTGGGATAGCAATAATCTGCCCTTTGGAGCTTTATGGTCTTCATCAGGGATCCCCAACCCCCGGACTGTGGCCCATTACTGGATTGTGAGCCATTTGGAACTGGGCCACAGAACACACATCTCCACTTGCACAAGCAGCACGTGAGCGCATGCACACATGCTCCATTTGGGCAAGTGGCAGGCATGTGTGCCACCTGTTTATGCAAATGGAGCTGTGCATATGCACTTGCTGGCCACTCGCATGGAACCATCCCCTCTCTGCCCCTCCACCGGTCCACAAAGCTGGAAAGGTTGGGGACCTCTGGTCTACAGTACATTTATATCAGTCTAAGTGAGTGTCCTTCTGTGGTGATGATTACACAATAGCAGGGATTCCCTACCTATTTCTCCCAGATTGTACAGAATCGCTCTAGGTTACCAGTGTGCATGCCTTACAGCATGCAGATTTCAGAACATTTGCTAAAATGAACTGTAAATTAGCAGAATATATAAATCTTATGTCAACTAATTCAGTTAAATGTTTGTAGGACAGACAGTAGGGATACCACCATAGAAATACTCTTGATTATCTGGTGCCCATTAAATGCTTCAGCTCAAGTGTTGCAAAGATGCTCCATTTGTTTTGTTGCATTTTTAAACATATCAAAAATATTTCAAAGAGAAATCTATTTCAGCAAAAATAGTTTCCATGTGAACATTTGATTAATATTGTATACAAATGTATAATCATGTCATACACAAGTTTTGGTTTAAAATATCAAACTTGTCCCCTTGTTATATAGAGTTTATTTCCCCCCTTTTCAATCTAGAAGTCAATTCTAATTTGGCACATTGTTTATTTACTTTCTTTCTGTACAATCAAAATGAAAGCTGAATTGGAACACTATAATTTTATATGGCAAGTAAACACTTTTAATTCACAGAAAGTGAATACATTTCTTCTGAGCATGGTAAGCAGAGTTTCCCCACAATTTTTAAATTAAAATCCACACAATAAGATGAAGATGTCTACAAGTTCCTCTTTTAAATTTTCATTGTTGCTGTTATCAATCATTATATTTTTGCCAATCATTATTTTGAGTTGGAAGATTTACTTCCACTTTATTTGAATCTAGCTGGAACCAGAAATTCTTGGCTAAAGATTTTTCATGCTGATTCTTGCAATAATAGAAAAAGCTGAATTACTAAAATCTTCCTCAGTGTACATTTTCTGATTGGATTTCCGTTTGTTCCACCTTAGCAATGAGCATAGAGAAACTTCTTACATTATCATAACTTAATACTTGGTAGATTCACAGCCTCCCCCAACTGAGAAGGTATCAGAGTAGAAAACACTATCACTGGAAAATATAATTTGAAAACCACATTACTACATGGAAAGGTATATTCTAGCAATATGGAAACAAATAATATACATTATGATAGCTGGAGAATGTGAAATATCATAGGTTCCCTGTCCTTCCACAGTTGGATTACTGATATATGTGGAATAGATTTCTTTCTTTTTTTAGACACAAGTTTATTTCTCATTCCATGATTAAATGGATAATATAAGCAGCTGTTATTCTATTGTCTATTGATAATTCTCTTTATTCGTATCGTCAAATCCTTTTGTGTTTCTGCTTAACTAATAATAATTTGATTTATAAAGTGATCACTCAAATCTAAGAGTCCAGAGGTCATACTTAGTACAAGGCTTAACATCGCCATAGTCAGTTTCCAACTACAGCTACTACAAAAACCCATAGTGTTCATCCTCCTGAGATTATGACATTCACACTTCAGTGGTCCTGAATCATACTGTGAACCCTCTCAATCTGAAGATCTTCAAATATGTTGGGCTATAAAGAGCCAGCTAGCACAGATATGTAGATTGCGAACAATGAGAATCATAATTCAACTCATTTCAACAACACTAAACTGGGAAGATCTGATTTAAGCAATACAACCAAACAGGTCTTATAATATGATTTTGATCGTCACGGTGAATAGGTAACATCTAAAAAGCCACTGTGTTGGTTCCCTCCCTAATCCATCCATCTGCAATATGGATGGATTATTGCAATGGATACTAACTACAATATTCCATCAGTTGATCTACAGTACATAGTTCATATTGTCTTTAAGACAAGAATCTGATTGTGAACTCTTCCTTTCTTTTATCCACTTCTGATTTATTAAGTACATGGGAAGGTCCTACTTCAGGATAACTTTGTTGTAATCACTTATCTTCTACAGTTAAGAATGTAGACCAAATAGTCTTCCATTACAGATATAAATTAGAGAACTATAATAATCACGATCTTCTACACATCTCTTGCTGAATTACAGTTCTCCATTTGTAATTTAATTCATACCTGCAATGGGAGAATATTCAGACTTGAACAGGAAACATGACTCTTTGGAACTGGTGCACCAGCAGTGAACAGCAAAATTAGCTCTAATTAGTCTCCTATTATGAAAATTCCCACCTTCCCCCTATACAGTATTTATCATTGGCCCATGCACAGTTGGAAAAAAAATGGTACATTGGTATGGCTTTTTATGAGCAGCTTCGTTTTAAACAAGGATCAAGCCCAACTATCTGTCACTCAAGGAAACACTTCAGTCTTTTCTTTAAAATGAAATCCACATGTCCATAGACTGCTAAAAATGGACTACAGTACTCCACCGTTCTATGTGATATTCCTTATGAAGAATTACCTGCAGAGAAGTCAGCAAGCAGGAGGAGGTGGGGAAGTCATTCAGAAATCATCCAGAAGAATGAAACAATGATTACACAGACACAGAGACACAGACACACAAACAATGTTTCTCACTCCTCTGCTTCTATTTCACCATCCAACCAAGAACTTCTCCCAGGGTGTTGGCTCTTCTCTTCACCGCGGACTTTGTTTATCTTTTCTAGCAACCCTAGCAGCAGGCTACCTTTGCTGCATTCAGAGGACTCCTGGGTGTCACAGAGAATATTATTGTCTGGGGTCTGTGAACCCAGATATCTCTTGCCTGGATGCTGCCGCTTCTCTAAGATTTCCTCACTCTCAGTCTCATCGTCCCAACCTCGCTTGCCAGGGTGCTGTCGCTTGTTGTAAGGCAAGTACCTCTTGCCCGGATGTTGTCTTTTGGATAATTCGTTCAGATAAGCTAGCTGGCTGCTTGGAATGCTGAGGATTTGATCCGAGAGGGATCTTCTGCCAGGATGCTGTCTCTTCTCCAAATCCATTACCATTCTCTTCCCAGGGTGCTGCCTTTTGGTGATCCAATCCAGCTCAGAAGCATTCGGCTCTGTACAAAGAAAGGTTTCACATTACTGCTCATTTTGGAAATTGCCAAATGGTTGTTCTTGTTGCAAGTTATAATTATTCAGTTTGACTCAGGAACAGTGAGGCAAAATAGGTGGCTGTAAATTGGTTTTTAAAAAAGTGGTCAAAACAAGGGTTTTAAAAAAATCATATTTGGAGATGGATTATAAATAAGTGAATAGATGTAAGACTAAGACTCTTTATTTCGTGGAGCTGACAAGATCTTTGAGAACATGTTATGGATACTTTTGTGAAATGGCTATTGGAATAGGGCTTATTCATTTCCAAAATGGCTGCTATAACCAGGTATTAGGTACCAGTTTACCAGAATGTTACTTGCACTCCTCAGGCTCTCTCCTCCTGCAGGTTGCTCCTCCCAGTTTACAATTACCTTTATTTCTTGGGCTTTGGGATTTCTTGGGCTTTGGGATTTTGAAATATTGAATTGTAGGCGCTCATCATTGGGCATAGACAAATTGCCCATACATGTATGAGTGGATTAGAAGATATTTGGGAAAGTGGAAGGAGAATTCCTTTGAAGTAGTGGTTTGAGATATCACTATTAATAGAGGAAAAGGTGGGACTCCTTCAGTATCAATAAAATACTGATATTAAGATAATGTGCAATTAACATTGTTAGATTCCATATATGACACTAGTCAAACATGGTCTTATAATAAGTGTTAAACTTCTTATGCAGAGGTCTGGCTATAGGCTCAACAAATACTACTTCATTTATCCTAATGGCCAGGAACAATTTTCTGGCATTCCTCACATGATGTTGTTCTTCAGGAACACCATTTTGCACATGGATGTTTATAAAAATAATTCTTCCTTCACCTTTCATTAGACTTCCTCAATTCAGATAGAGAATCAGAAAGGAAATTCAAACATATATGTAGAATTCTTTGGATATATCATTTGCCATCCTTAAATCCATTATCAAAGTCAGTATGACAGAATGGAGACAGTAACCCCTGTCTGCCATTCTATCATCAAACATGTAAATGAGAGTGAAAATCTGAGAAAAGAACTGAAAAAAGTTTTTTCACACACAAAAGAAAATCTTCTTAGTCAATTCAGGCTCCTGCCTGACATTGGTTGTAGGGAGATACAGGCTGCAGAAGATTCCAAGGTGATTCAAGATCACCTAAACTGCCATGGGGCCACTATAGGATCTGTCTGAACTGCACAGATAACCCGCAGAAGAAAAGGATCCAAAGACACCATTGGGGAGGGATGTCCAGCAATTGGAACCTTTAATTAATTCACTGAGGAATTTAATAGCAACCGCTCTTTAGGACAGGAGCAATGTCATGTTATCAGAGGCATTAGTATTGGTGGCAGGGATCTAATTAATCCCAGAATGATAGCACAATTAAGCCATTAAACTTCTCTGCATCCTCTTCTTCTTTGAAGGCAGACAATAGATGGAGGCAAAGAGGAAGAATTATAGGTCTGTCATATGCATCAACTGGTTTCTGCTTGCTGTCTGGGAAAATAAAGCTTTCAAAAAAAATCTAATGTCTTTCTACCTTTGTTACATTTAGGGGAAAGGAAATGAAGGCCTTTCTGTTCTATATTTGTCTGATCAATCCTGAAAATTCATGATAATTGGCCCATCCATAAGGTATAGTGAGCCCTGTATAGAGATGTCAAGAAATGTGGGTAAATAGAAATGGTAACTTTCTGGCTATTATATCAAAGCCATCAGCTGCCAACTTCTATTAGAAAGCAGAGATATACATGTTGCATAGCACAGTCTGACCTGTGCCTACTAAGCTACCCTGTCACATCCCTGAGAGTACAGTGAAAAGCGCTACACCGCTATTACCGCTAAACTAAAAATCAACAAGCTGAATGTTGACGTCCCTGAATATTAACTGTTCTTCAGAGCTCTTTCCCAAGGCCAAATACTGAATTTTAAAATTATAATATTGGCATGTTTATTTGAATGTTGATATGGGTAACAAATAAAATATCTTTTTCCAGAAAGACTAGTCCAGTCTTCCCAAAATTGGTGTCCTCCATAGGTTACAACTATTACAACTCTCAAAACCTTCCGCCAGCATACAACTGAAAAACTTGGGATTTCAAATTTGCTTTAAGATATAACACAACTTTTCTCCATCTCAGCAACTAAGAAAGATGTGCCTTATATTTTAACAATTGTCTCTCCCCACTCCCTCTTCCCCTTAAAAGAGGAAAAACATTGTGAAGACTTTTCTGGGCAGAAATTGTGCATATAAATAAAAGCAGGAACAAAATAGGAACTTCATCAGTTATGTAACCATAGAAATTCTCATGTTCATATTTACCTTTCTCCAGATCCTCTTTTGCATCTTCTACCTTTCTGAAAATGGAACTTAAAATGAGGCTTTCTGCCTCTGGGGAGAGGTCATCAAGGAGACTCTTTTCATCATTGTCATCTTCTTCTGGAAATTGCTGCCCCAAGTTGACACACACACTAGTAAAAGCCAGGAATAGAAACAGCTGCCGCCGCCAAATGGAGATGGACATGGCAAGACAAGTTCCTAGGAGCAGAATGTGGAGAAAATGGGTTTTAAAAGTAGTGCAGAAAATGCAACATTCCTAATCATTTGGGGGGACATGGTGTCTTGAAGAGATAAATGTAAGCTCTTCGGTTTTTATTCACTTCTAATGAAACTACCCATAGGAATGATTACTTATCACTTTAATTTTCTGCGAGCTCACTTAGGTTTGCCTAATGATCTTTATATGAATTTGATGTTCCTCTCTGAGCAAAGATGAGTGCTATAGTATGAGAAAACAGTCAGATTTATTCTTTTTTAAGCATAGGGTTTATCTGAAGCCTATTCACATTAAAGATCTAAGGCTATATAAATGTTATATCAATACATCAAAACCAGTTGTGTCATATTATATAAACCATTTATTTTAAATGGTGAAGTAGAATACCTGTACAAAATTATTAGAACATGAATACAATACTAGTATTATACTTTGCTGCCAAATGATGCTTTAAATCCACATGGCTTAATTACAATTTTCACAAAATCACTCAGTGTTTTTTACTTCAGTGAAATAGATTCTAATGTTTTCAGAACATTTGAAAATGAAAGAAAAGCTGTTCTTTTGTGAATACTTAATGACTTAAAATACTCTTTAACTTTGCCGGCAAAGTTAACGGCAGTTGTAATTTTAAGATCTCTTCTATCTGATTCTATGTTATGAGCAAACAATTAACATTTATCCTTTTAAATGAGAATCAATAGGAGAGAGAGAGAAGAAAAAGAGAGATTGTCATTTCCATACACCTTCAGGTTGAAAGTGTTACAAAACAAGATTAAATTCAGAAGGTATATTTTTTGCAATCCAGTAAATAGCCTGCTTTATTAACTACCCAGAACAATTGAATAACAGCTGTATACAACTAGATAAATCTGTGAGATGTTCATAAGAAAGGAAAAGTTTAATAGGTAAGGCAGCCTGCAGAGGGAAACTAAATGGAATTTATTACCTTCCTTCCAAGTGCTTTAATCCTTGGCTCAGGGGTTGAAAGAATTGGCTCAGCTCAGTATCTTTCTGTAGCTACTTACAGGTTTCAGCTTCAAAGTTGCCTTCCTCCGTTGAATCACAGATGACATCCACCAGAAGTGCTCCTGAGTTCTTTTGGGTAGATTAAGTCTTCTTCCCTTCTTATAGAGAGCTGCCTCTGGACCAATTATGCAAATAGTTGTGAGGTAATATATGTGATGTACTGTGTTGCTCCTGCCTCCTTTCATTGATGTCAGGAATCTGAAATTTGTGCGCATGTTAAAATTCTGACAGTTATGGAGCTGACCTCACTTCGCTAAGGGTTGCTAGAAAAGAATTGCCTCAGGAAATAAGATAAGATGAGGGATATGCCTGTGTGTATAAATCCACATGAACATTATGTCAAACAGTTGTTATGAGCCAAGCAGGTCATTCATGAGATCCAAAGAGCAAAATAGAATCAATAAATGATATTATTTCCTTCTTTTTTTCATGGTGTCCTCCTATCTCTAAATTTGCAGTTTGCTAGCCAATACTCCACAGTTCTCTCATTTCCATATAAATTCCCTCCAAATAAAATCTTGAATTTTACAGAAAGGAGAACAAGGTTTCATTTGGGTAACAAAATGCTGTATGAGTGATGCCCCTCTGTTTTCATCTGGAGAGGCTTCTATGTTCAGTTCAGAAATGCTTTTTTTCTACTCATTTGTATATGGGAGGTTTGCTATTTCAATTTCAAAAAAGTTGCATTCTAGAAAATACACAAATATGAATCTGCTATACAACTATATCTGATTTTGACATCCAGTTTCTTCAATCAGAATACATCTCATGGTGTTCTGAACTTTTACAAAATCCTTCATTTTCAAGTCTCATTTTTCTACAGTGAAGAATATCTAGGAATGGCTTTACTATTATTTACTATTCTTTTCAAATACATTTATCCAATCTTAAGTATTTTTTAAATGCTGCAGTAAAAGTCTTCATCCAGATTTTGCATGATTTTGGCAAAATCCTGAGTAAAAGTTATATTAACTTTTTGTTAAATTGTCTTGAACCAAACATTGAGATGTTCAAAATAAACTTATTTAATTTGTTTGAAATAAATTAAACTTTGAGGTTTTGTATTATTTATGAATAGATGAATAACCTAATAGTTACACCAACTGCTATAAGGAATGGATTCAAATTATTTTGAATAATTGAATTACTTCTCTGCCTGTTCACATGTACATTTTATCAACATGTTTTCAAGATAAACTAGTGATCAATGAAGGTGAAATTGCCATTACAGACTAATTATCACAAATAGCTATTTCATATGGATTTAAAACCAATATTTTAAAAAGAGGCACTTTGTGTAGATACACAAAAGTTATCAAGAAACAATATACATGCTCTATAGTACTAGCTCTGCTATATAACAGTCCTTTATGCTTTCAACTGAACAATTATCAGATGAAATGATCTCTTTATTTTAAGCAACATCTGACACAGTGAGCAATGTCTGTATTTGAGTGTGTTTGTGTATGTGTGTGTGTGTGTGGTCTATGTCTCTTTGTGTGTGCAATAGACTAATTCCACAATCCTGTCACTTCTTTTCAGAGATTAAACTATCTGTGTTTAACGCATGCCTGGATTTATAATGTTATGCACCTGAGGGCAAGACAGGAAGTAATGCATGGAAACTTAGAATTAAGGAGAAATTTCCTGACAATGAGAACAATTAATTAGTGGAACAGCTCAGCTCCAGAAGTTGTGGATGATCCATCACTGGTGACTGGACAGCCATTTGTCTGGAAAGGTATAGGCTCTCCTGTTCAGGCAGGGGGTTAGACTAGAAGACCTCCAAAGTGTCTTCCAACTCTGTTATTAGATTGTTATCTTGCCTTTACATAAGTAACTCAAGGCAATGAACATATATAATACTCCTTCCTCCTCCTAATTTTATCACCACAACAATCCTGTGAAGTGGTGTTTAGCTAAGACAGAGTAACTGGCCCAAAGTCACCTGGTTGGTGACTTTTGGGGAAAGGGGCAACATATACAAATAATAACAATAAATAATTCTGTACTATGTAAACAAAATTTATGCATCTTAATAGGACAAGAAGCCCCAAATATTTGCTAATGAAATGAAAAAGAGACCAATTGATGTCCATACATATATGGACTTCTGAAGCTTTCACTGAAGTAGCATAAGACAGGGCTTTTCGACCAGTGGTATGGGTACCACCTGTGGTACATTGGCACCTGGCAGGTGGTACACAACCATCCTAGAAAAGTAGTGGGGGAGGGGAATGAGCTGAACCGGTGGCAGCACTGCACAAGCCTGAGCAAGAGAGGCTGGAGCTGCAGGGCTGTCAGGGCTCAGCGGAAGTGCCAGGATCAGTGCTTTTTCAGGGTTCTCAGGTTCAGCGGAAGCACCAGGATCAGCGCCGAGCTCCAGCTGGAGCTCGGCGCTGATTCTGGTGCTTCTGCTGATCCCAGAAGAAGCACCGATCAGCTGGAATGTTACAGCATCTCCAGGGTCTTGTGATTTACATTCAGATGCTTGGCAACTGATTCATATTTATGACGGTCACAGTGTCCCAGGGTCATGCGAAGTGACCAAAACCTGCTGCAACCACCCAGCATTCGGGGGGAATAAAAACCAAACATCCCCCACCCCACCCCTGCTGCCAATCCTCAACAGAAATGCTCACAACAATGAAAACCTCGGACAGGAGGAAGAGTGCCACCGGGTGGACAGGCAAGTGCTATGCTCTGCTGTGGCTTGGGGGGGCACTTTTTTCAGTGCTATTGTAACTTCGAACAGTCACTACGCAAACTGTACTTTATCACTTTTTTCCCTTTTTTTTGGATCAAGTTTTTGACACCTTGCTAGGCGACTGGTGGTACTTGGATATTGCCATATCCTAAAAGTGGTACAATGGGTGAAAAAGTTGAAAAGCCCTGGCATAACAAATGTGACAATCAAGTTGAAGTCTTCTTTGGTAACTTGCTGACATTTTCACCCATCCCTCCACTGGTTGGCTTCTTGGCCTTCTTCTGTCATGATTGTGAAGTTTTGTTCACTAGAAAATTTACAGCTGTAAGCACTTGTTCCTGGAATGGCTTTATGTTTTGGGGTGGAAATCAGACTATTAGATGGATATTACAGAAATGTGAGAGCAGATAATTATTCTATTGCTAGCTTTATTTAAAAAAACAAAGAAACAAACCAGAAACCTATCACCATTGAAAGCAACAACTTCATTTTCAAGCATATGTTAATCTTAGACTGCTTAGACTGAAGAGATGAATTATTTTTTTAAAACTGTCAAACAAAAGATGTCTTTGTCTTTTTGCTAGGTTTCTGTTAGAAAATTTGAAAGGGAATAAAAGAGAAATGTAATGTTTCACAGTTCTATAAGGTTTCTGTCACTTTTTATTTAGGTCTCTGTCACTCTTGTTTATAAGAGACCCTGAGACTTTAGAACCTTAGGATCCTTATTGCTAAAAATTTGGATTTAGGCATCTGGAAGCAAATTCATTTTTGTAGACCAGGAATAAGAAATGGAGGAGCAAAATTGATCAAGGATGGGTTAGCAGTCTCGAGATGTGGTGACAGCTGCTCTTCTGAATGGAAGCCTGAAAAGTTCTGTAACTCTAAGAACATGATGTGAATACTTAATAGAGAATTCATTAGTCAACAATGGGCTTTTAAGCATAATAGCAAAAATAAAATTCAGTATTTCCCTTTTCACTATTTGTTCAGAGTTCTAGACAATAAGGTAAAAAAAAATGACAATTGGTGCTGAAGATGAGAAACTGATCAAGTACCTGAATTTTCCTGCTATAAACATAACAAATGGTGCTGCCATTTTGCATCCTCTGTACAATGAAGGAAGCAATTGGTGGATGATCTGTTTAAATGGTCATTTATCAGAAGTCCACAATAGCACTGAAATACTCAGCCAGACATGATTTAAATGTTTAAATTCAATAGCCTTTAACAGAAGGCGGAAATAGCTGTTAAGACCAACCCATTGCATTTGTCACTTGTATAAGAAAGGAGGAAGGGAAAGGAATGGAGAGAGGGAGAGGGAGGGAACGGCAACGCTCTCACAAAATGCTGTTTATTTTATTTAATTATTTCCATAATTTTATAGTAAAAGTCTCAATGTTCCAAAGTTGTCTGGACCCTTAATTTGTTAATAACGTTCTTAGATCAAAATCCAATTTAGCTTTTTTTTCTTTTATTTCCAATTTGTTAAATTCTTAAACTTACAGTTAATTTTCTTTTTTGTTTAAGAAGAAAGGTAAACTCACAAGGTGGCTTTTCAAACTTGTTACTCTGAAGATTTCTAATAGCCTTAGAATAGTAAAGGCAAATTTCCAAAAGTGATCAGAAAGTGAGGTTTACAAACTCAGTAACCTTTGAAAGCCTTCGCTATGGCTGTGAGCATGATGGTTGCGTCCTTCATCTATTAGTTCTCAAACCCACAAGAAATCATTGTCCTATAGTCTGGGCTCAAGGAATAACTAGTCTTGTGGATGATCTGTTGTCCTTTCCTTATATGGAGAGGTATCAAAGAACTGGTTTACTTGCCAGTTCTCCAACAGTTCTTAAGGAAAGGAATCTTTTAAAAACTTAATTAGTTATGAGGGTTTTTTTAATACTACTTTTTCAGATATAATTGTCCAATTTCTCATAATAGCAATATGATAGCAATAAAATTACAAACTAAAACAGATTGGATTGTATAATACAAACAACTAAAACTAACTTTAAAGAAAAATCAGTTTAAACAAGATGTCCACGAAACAGCAAATACTCCAATTTTTTAGACACCAGAAATAAAAAGAATAAAAGAACCACAGAGAAGAGGTCTTTCCCTAGAGTCTAAAAAGAATACAGAATATAAAATAACAGAGTGGGAAGGGACCTTGGAAGTCATCTAGTCCAAACGCTCTGCTCAGGCAATAAACTCTATACCATTTCAGAAAAATGGTGGTCCAATCTCTTCTTTAAAAACTTCCAGTGCTGGAGCATCCACAACTTCTGGAGGCAAATTGTTCCACTGATTAACTGTTCTCACTGTCAGGAAATTTCTCCTTAGTTTCTAGATTGGTTCTCTCCTTGATTAGTTTTAACTCATTGCTTCTTGTCCTGCTTTCATACCTCTTTGTGGAGAGGTATTGCAAAACTGAGGGTTA